CAATGCCATAGAACAACCTCGCCAACCTCTCCCGCTCTCCGGACGCCAACAAATTGTTGCATTAATTATGAAACAAGAAGTAAAAACTAAAACGTTGCAGCTGAAAGCGATTTGGCACAGTTTGACCAAGCGTAACAAATCACAATTTTCCAAATGGAACACGCTACGCATTTCGGTAGCTGACGTGGCCCCAAAATGGAGAACAGCCAAGCCAAGCCAAACAACTAACCAAATCAGCCAATCAGCAAACAGCAAGCACCACCCAGCCACCCACCCAGCACTCGATCCACTAACTTTACAGCTTCGCATTGATTCGTGTCGCTTATCGTGGATAACTTTGTGATTCTTTTTTGTATTTGTTTATTGTTTTTTTTGTTGTCTGTTTTCTGTTTTCAGTTTTCTGTTTTGTTTGTCTGATGATCTAACGCAATCGTTAGCGCTGATAGCAGTACATCCCCTCCACAACAAATCCTTACCCCACACTCTGGCCCCGCACCGCAGCGGAGCATTACTGCCCCCGTTTTTGTGGCTGACATGTAACATTAGTTGCTAATGCCAAATAGTTTATATTTGTTGTTGGAACGCGACGCTGCCAACTCGGCGTGCTTCCGGCCCAGTGCATGCCATCGGGTTAGCTTGTGCCACCCAAAATCTCCCCCCCCCCCCCACAACACAATCCCTGGCAATCCAGCCCCTCAGGGGGGAGGGAGGGTCTCTTGGCCTCTTGCGATGCGCGCTTTATTACCTGACCGCATATCAACTCAACTCTCAATTCGATGATGCCCGTTTCGACGACACCTAGCTCTGCCCCTACATCCCCCCCATCTCCCCCCCGTGGTTAGTCCGTGGCCTACTGTGCCCGTTAACAGCGCCAGGTGCGTGCCTTGTCGCTCGTGTCGAAGCGACAGAGATTCGACGGCTTGTCTAAATCATTGCGTTTAAATTGAACAATTAAACTAATTTCGATGGGCGGCGCTGGCGCATGGAATTACTTTGTTTGGCATTAAATTTTCATATTTATACTCTGTTGGAAACAAACAAAAAAAAAAGAGTATATTCGAATCTCAATTCAAGAAGTCTTCAGACTAAAATGGCAAATCATATTTCTATTCATCGCTCTAGAGAAGAACACGAACTCAAAACTAAGATAATATTATTTGCTTATGTTTTTTGGTTTTTTGATAAGAACCTAGCTAAAATTGTATTTTACTAGATGTAAATCATTCGATTTAGTACGGCAGCAAACCAAAACAAAAAAGAAGTTTTTCAATTGCAGAGTAGTGCGCAATTGGGAAAGATTCGAGTTATTTGTCAAAACACTTTTATACTATTTGTTGATATAACTCACCTTAGCTGAAAAATGCAGTCGCAACTTCCGGCACGATACGAAAAAAAAAAACAAAAGCAAAAAAACAAAAAGCAAATATGGAAAAAAATGGAAACCGAAAATGAAAAGAAAACCTTGTAGAAAAATAAATACTTGTGCATAGGCGGTTGGCCTGCTTTTTGAAAAATTTCACACGATTTTCAAATGCAAATTGCGTTTTTGTCTTTTTAGGCCAACAGTTATAACAACAATAGCGCACAGCCAAAAACCGAGAAAACAAAAAGGTAAAATAACAAAAAAAAAAAAAAAAAAAAAAACTTTAAGAAAATTAACACTTTATACGGGTTGCGAGACGGCGTCGAGAGACGGGAGACGGGAATCGATGTCAGGCGACGATCGCACGTTACAAAATGAATGACAATGAGCAGGTGGGTCTGCTTTTATAGACGGCAGTCCAACCCCTTACATTCGCATTGGCGTCCACTTTCCAACCCCCATGCACCTGGCCTGATAACGGGGCCAACAGTTGTTATCCATCGAATCCTGGCTGGTCCGCCCGGATAAGATAACAATCGGGCTAGTTGGTTAATGCTCACCGGTTACTGGTAACAAATAACTGACTAATGGTTAATGGGGTCGTCTCTCCAGTCACCATCCCCATCCCCATCTCCATCCCCATACCCAAATCCCAACCCCAACCCCAACCCCAATCCCATCTACTCTTATCGCGACCCGGCTGGCGCAATTATGCAAAACAAAATGGTGTCTGCTATCGATCCACTTTATAGATAAACGACAATCTACCAGAGATAACGTACGACATCCGACATCCGAAATCAGCTAACAAACACCCTCAACCTAGTCAGAGACACCTGGAAAGTTTTTTTTTGTGGTTTCTTTTTTCTTTTTTTGGAACAATCATAGATATATGATATGTGGTGATCTTGCAAAGATTCTGATCAACTGATCAAGAATATATGAAAATGAACTCAAGTTTCTTGCAGGCACATAAAAGGCAAATGATCTGGCCGAGAGATCTTCGAACTACCACGAATTCAACGGATATTCTAATTTAATTGCTACAACTCGCTTTAAGAAGTTTTTCACAGTCCTGTATGCATTTAAAGGATCTATGCAAGTACTCTAATTTTTTCAAAAGCAATTTAGATAGCAGCATTGCTACCAGCTACGCGGAGCAAAAAAGCAAAAAAGCAAAAGAGCAAAAGAGCAAAACACATAAGCAGTAGCAGAAGCTGTACATTTTGGCTGCTACGCTCTCACTTTGCTCTTGTTCCTTTTGCTATTGCTACAACTACAATGGAAAGTTTTTTTTGTTTTTGCTCTTTATTATTGGCTCTGCTCGGGCAAAGTTCGTTGCAATAATGTGAGTAGCAATAGCAGAGCAATATTTCTATTGCTTTTGCTATTATGGTTATGGTGTAGTGAGTTCAAACACTGTATATAACTGAGTGCGATCGAACAGATCTTACTCTCAAGTTAATCATCAGCTTTGCCAACGAGTTGGAAACTCGATTCAAACAAGAACTGACGTCTATCTTGGGCACGCAGCTGACTTCTTAATTGTTGTTCGGAGTTCAAAATAGTTGAATTTTAGGTTGATGTTAGCTTTTCTAGTTTAATTAAGAAATATGTTTGTTGTTAAACAAGTATAGCAAATAGTGTTTCGTTTTAAACAGATGTTACAAAGAATTGCTCATTCTAAACAAACATTTTCTACTGATACCTGTTTCAGTTTATGCTTTCAACTGAATATTCTACATTTGTGTCGACGCCTATCTCGATCCCACAACTACTAACTCGTCTTTCATCTTAATAACAAATCTTACAAGCATTTTTTGCTATGTGGTAGCTATTTAATATATAAGTATTCCGATCCGATCGTCTCCCACGTCATGAGTGTCCCAAGTTCATAAGTTCATTTTTACTCTCATATTTAATCTTTCAATTAATCCCTTCAAGGGATTAATTTTAGCATTGGTTTTCTATAGTACTATCAATACTAGAGCTAATTTTTTATAAACAGTCCGAGAACATATATCTGCCGCAATTTCCAATTATTTATAATACCCAATTGATGTTATATTTAATGTGACTAGGGTATAATCAGTAACCGGTAAAATAATCATCAAATTGGGTACAGTTATGCACGAACTAGTTAAATACTCGCATTCAAATAATATAAAATAAAAAAACGAAGCCCAAGCCAAAAAAAAAAAAAGCCCCTTAACAATTCAAAGACCATATCAGTCAGGTCGCCAGGTCGCTTTGGGGAAAGGGGGATGGTTGGAGGGTTCAGGTTTGGGTTTGGGTTTGGGTTTGGGTTTTGGGTGAGTTTAACTGGTTGGAGTACGGGTTGATAGGCGACTTAATCAGTAAGTAATTCGGTAAATTAAACAAATAGGGCAGCGGGCAGATGATGAGCATTCAGTTATAGCCACATATAAAAAATGTACATTGTATACATATGTAGATATATGTGTACACACACACACACACACACACACACACAGACATGCACACATGCACACATCTACACAGATATGCCAGATATTTCGGAGTGGAGCATATGGGCGAAAATAGACGAAACCACATCCGATTTATGATAGAGCGAGCAAATAAAGCGTAATGTGAAATCAAATCGAAATTGCCTAAACTTATTTTTCCATTGAAGAGCGAACAATAAAACTATCCATTACAGTGATCGCTCGTTAATTGAAACTCTTCGATTGCCTAAGTGATTCTAAAAATAATCATTATTAGCTTTGAATTTGAATTTGTATTTGTGTCCGACATTTGAAGGCCAACTTTAAGCTGAGAGGCAGACTCTTTATCAACATCCCTACTTTATTTGAAGATATACTTTTTATCAAAAGATAATAATAAAATAAGAAGTTTCTAATACCATCGCTAAATCCAAGACAATTTCAATTAAATGTAAGCTACAATTTGGTAGGGATCACTGTACTTGGTGTGGCAACAACTGTCTTTTTTTTTTGAAGTTGGGGGCAGGAGTGAGCGTTTGTCGCTTGCAACTTATCGCATAACAGCGCGCAACATAATGTGGCAGCAGGTAAACGCTGATAAGGCCACGTTGCAAATGCAGCAGGGGCAGGCAGCAACACAACTAGCAGCAACAGATAAGCAGACTGTTGCTGTTGCTATTGCTGTTGCTGATGCCGCTCTTGCGCTGACATCGCTTATCACAATTTAAATATTAATTTAGGGATATATGAGCGAGAGAACATTTGACGTGCAACCGTCGCCGATGGCGATGCCGATGCCGATGCCGATGGTGATGGCAATGGCAATAGCTCCGGCTTTGACTCGGCGCGTTTGCTTATCGCCGACGCGTGCAAACAATGCGAACGCGAACGCGAACGCAAACAGCCAACAGCCAACGATATGGAGCCCAAGATGTGAATACAGATACACATATATATATCGTATATGGACTTAAGCCTAAGCGTATAGTTCACATGGTCCAGCGGCGTGGGACGACTGACTGTCTAACCGGTAATGTGGGGAGTTGCTGCAGACTTGCAGGACTTGGGAAACTTGCCCTATAACTGTAACTGCTTGTCAAAACCTGCCACGCCACGCCACGCCACGCATGTTAGCCAAAGTGTTTGAGTCGTATTTTTGCTCGACTTACCAACGACTTTGCCTCGCCGCCGACGTTGTCTTCACTAGCTCTGCTTGCCTTTAATGTTGTAATCTGTTTGCGTAGGGCGACAATCTGTGGAACCAAAAATTGCGACATGTTAAATGCGTTTCTTTGTGTGTTTTAGGAGCAGTATCTGGTCAATGGCAGGAAGTTCTACAAGTGCGCGATCAGTTTGCTGTTGCAACTAAAGGCAGCATTGATGAAACAGCCAAAACTTCAATCTCAATCGCGCACAAGCCAAACCAATCGCCACTGCATTGAGAACACCAACAGCAGGGGGGAAATGGGGGGTCTTGGGGGATTCCCCACTCACCTCGCGATCTTTATCCTCGCACGCCTTGTCCAGCTGACGCAATTGCGTCTCATTTAACAGCTGGAGGGCTGTCTGAGCGCTCAAAGCGTCGTCGCCACCCCGATATTCGTCATCGCCGGGTCCGGCTGTCTCCGCTAGCACCTCCTGGGCCAAGTTTGTCAGTTGTCCTTTGATTGTGTTGATAGTGTTCAGACTGTTGTTTAGCCACGACATGCTGCCTGCTGTCTGCTTACCGCTGTTCCCTGCTCCCTTGCACAATATAGTTTCCTTGCCGTTGTCTTGGGTGTCTTAAATTAAAAAATAACTAATTTATTATTTTGCGTGGCACAAGAGCTGCTTCAGCTGATTATTGTTATTGTCATTGCTGCTATCGATAGTCGCACGCTCGATATATATTGTCGTATGCATGCCAAAATGCTGGATGCTGTAATATCTTAAGACCCCTATCCAACAGTTTAAACCGTTTTCAAATTAAAATTATGTATTGTGCTTTGTATTGTGTTTTTTGGCTAAGATTACATCTACTTGAACTCTCAACTATGTTCAAAAAATGTAGTATTTACACAAAGTTTCTTTTTGTAAGTCCAAAGTGCCATCGAATAAGTAAATTAACAGTTTTAGTACTGAAAGTTTAGTATTGAGTAGCGCCCGTCGGGATTGCAACTTGTTTTTTAGAGGTTCATTTTTACAAATTTAAGCTCCTGACAAGTCACATTGATTTTAGTGCAAAATATATGGTTCTGCAGGCTCCTAAGGCTCCACAATTGATGCACTTTCAGAACAAGCAAACCAAATAATATATTTTCAAACATAAATATGATTGTTATCCACATTATTAGATATGTTATATGATATATATATTCAAACCATAAATAATATTTATAGTAAGAAATAAATAGTAAGTAGGAAGTTTCAGTACAAGCATACGATTAATCACGACGCTATCGATAGCAGTGGAGCAGCAGTGCTTCAAGCTTTCTTAATACAATAGATGGCGCCAGCTATATTGACTGACGGTTTGCGGTTAAATAATTGGCTCACATGAGCAAAGAGGGAATCAAAACAAATGCGAAATGATTTGTCGTACTAAATACAATATGTTTAGAAATGATCACCAATCAAACCGGTCGCGGTTCACTGGAACTTTACTCAAGCAGGTGCCAACGACATTGAGAAATACCCAAATGTCCGAGAAAGCAATTATAATGGCAAACAAACAATTACTAAGCCAAAGGCGTAGCAAGAGCTTTGAAGTTGCCTGGCTGGTTTCTGAATTTGCGCCGCGTACATGAGGCAGCAGCAGCAGTAGCAGTGGCAGGCGCAGGCGCATTGACTGAGCCACCGACGACGGCGCAGTTAGAAGCGAACCTTCCAATCGACCAGCCACCAACTGATCGGCAAAAGAAAGCCAAAAAGAAAACAATCGAATTAAAAAATGCAAAACGCAACACATAAATTGTTGCTGTTGATGGTCTTGATGGCTGTGGCAGCGACGGCGACGGCGCGAGTCGCATGTAAGCGCAAAAGTTTCACTTTGCCCAAGAACCAAAATACAATTTGGCGAATTGTGAAATTGGTATTTTCAAATATTGCAGCTGCGAATCCTGTAATCAAGCCACAATCGCAGCGCGGCATCATCTTTCCAACCGAATCCTTTGACGATTGCTTTATGGATATGATGCGTTCTGTGCCTGGTACATGTAAGCTGCTGTTGGATTGTCCCGGTGCACTCGAACGCTGGGACCGAGACCATATCGCGCCAAAGACCTGTTTTTTCGTCAAATTCGATCAGTATGTATGCTGTGCCCTAACTGACAACATAACAACGACAAAAACCACAACAAGTCCAACAACAACTACTACTACAACAACAACAACTACGACAACAACTACAACAACAACAGAGGCGCCACTGATTCTGCGACGCAGCGGAGAGGGTGTGTATCTTCTCTGGCGACTAACCTGTTTGCCATTTAATCATTTAGTTCATTCGTCCGTTTACCTTTGTAGCTTGCGAGGATGCTCGACCCTTTGGAGTCACGGTTGTTGACGGCGAGCCGACCACTGTCCGTGAATTCCCCTACATGGCAGCCCTCGGCTGGCCATCAAGTTTTGACACACAAGTTTATTATCGCTGTGGCGGCAGCCTCATCTCGCCCAAATTTGTACTGACTGCGGCGCACTGCATCAGCTTTGGTGGCCAACTGCCGACAACAGTGCGTCTGGGCGGCGATAATCTAACGCTTAGCATGGGCGAGGATCGACAAATACTGCGTGTGTTCACGCATCCCAACTACAATGAAACCACTGCATATAATGATATTGCACTGCTGGAACTGGACACGCCAATCACTAACCTGACTTTTGCCTGCTTGTGGCAAACTACCGAATTGTCTGCACCAATTGTGACCGCTATTGGCTATGGCCAGATACAATTTGCTGGCCTCTCCTCGTCGCAACTGCTCAAGGTGTCGCTGCAGCATGTGACCAACGAACAGTGCCAGCAGCACTATTCGCGCGATGCCCTCATCGACGGTCTTGCCGAGAGTCAACTGTGTGCCGGCAATATTCTCGGCAAGGGCGACACCTGCCAGGGTGATTCGGGTGGACCGCTGCTGCAGCGGTGGGATACTATGTGGCATGTGGTTGGCATCACATCACTGGGACAGGGTTGCGCCAATGGACCACCAAGCGTTTATACGCGCGTCTCCAGCTATCTGGACTGGATCGAGAGCATAGTTTGGCCCAATGTCGGCGATGTGGCACAGCAGCCAACATTCGATCTGCGCGGCTCCGTTGACACATTGGCCGCATACAAATCAATCATTTAGCACATCCGCAACAAAAAAAAAAAGCACTCTGTGTAAAAGCCAAACTGACAAATGGAATTCCCACAACTGAATCATCCACACATTTCTCCTTTTGGCATTACTCATGCGTATTTCAAGCGGAACTTTGTAAAGAACACCAATTCTTGTGTAGTTCACCGTAAATATCCATTTTATACTATAGTTAGTTGCCTAAGCTCCTGAAACTACAGAAATTATTGGGCTTGCCATTTAATGACTGCCTTAGTAATTAATTTCGCATACATATGAATAAATTATATATTTATTAAATTTCATGTTTGTTTTTTTTATTTCAATAAAAACGTATCTTTGTTAAGCCTGTTTACAACACAGAGTTCACTGAACTTGAGGGAACTGGCAACCCTCAAAATATGCAACTTGACTCGGATGTGGAAAGTGACAAGAAATTATCTTTTGACCGATATCAGCTATATGTGATATAGTGATCCGATCTGGACGCATTTCCATATGCTCATAAATTAAAATAAAATGCGAATTTTTCTTCTTTTTTTTTTATTTCACTAAAATTAGCATCAAACAGTTTTTTTTTATATTATATAATTATGTTTTATATGTTTCATTAAAATTGCCTTGTAATCATAAACAATTATTTACTTTTCTGTTTTTTTTTTTGTTTTACACACTCATTTCATCTTTGTGTTTGTTAATCAGTAATCAGTACAAATTCGCAAAAATATGTTGGCTTTTTATTATAGTAGCATTAATATTCTATTATTAATCAAGAACTTGAAAGGCACGATTTCTAAAAAAAAAAGAAAATCGAACGCTTCTGCCGTTCATAAATAAAAAAAAAATCGACGCACAATTTGTGGTTTTGTTTAAGTATTTTTTTCCTCTTCATGTTTAGCATTTTCGCTCCTACACTAATAACAATTACAAGCTTAAATGTTAATACGCTTAAATATTAATTGTAAAGTTAGATTTAAAATAATATTTAAAAAAAAAAAACATACACGTAGGAAAAAACACGAAATATTGACGGCAAACAAAAAGTGGGCGTAAGTCCATTAAAGTTAACACAAATCAGTTGTTTGTTTTTTTTTTTTTGTTTTTAGTTGAATTGACATAAATTCAGTGTTTGGTTATTTTCTTCCAGTTTTTCTCTTTTTCTTTCATTGTTTTTTTGCTTGTGGATCGTTTTGCAAATAAATAAATTGCTACTTTGCATGAACATTAATAAATTAAGCGATCAGAAACGTGGTAGTAGTATTCAGGCGAAACTTGTGCCAAATACTAGTGTTAAACAAATTAAAAGCAATACAAATAATAATAATAAAATTCATAATTATAACACATGTGCTCCTCTCGAAACGCTATCCAAACACTTGATGTGATTTTGTTTACTTTTAACAATTGTCTGCTTTCAAATTGTTGTTCTTTTGGAATGCTCTCTCTCTCTCTCTCTCTCTCTCGCTCTCTCTTTCTCTTTCTCTCTCTTTCTCTTTCTCTCTCTCGATATCTCTCTCTCTCTCTCTCTCTCTCTCGCTCTTACGGAGCACACATGGTTAAAGATTAGAAATGATCGATTCGTTGATCAGTTTGTTAGTTGTAATCAGAGCCACAATTTTTGACGTACTCGTTTAAGTTTTGAAAATATAGCTGTTGTAGGAGGTTCGTATACTGCTCCCATCGATCCAAATTACATAATATATATGTATATTATTGTATTGTGCGTTTAAGTTATTGCTGTTGCTGTTGTTATTGTTAGTGTGTGGCTGTTTAGAAAATGTTGGCTTTTTCTTTGTACACATATATCAAATCTAAAATATATATTGTATACGTATATTGCAAGGCACAATTCGTTTCTCCTTTCTGTCTAAATGTTTATATATATATATATATGTATATAGATTTTCAAAAATTTGACTTAGTTGAGAGCGCGCTTCAATGGCAGTTTTGACTTTTGTTCAAGCAAGTTTTTCATAATTTGATCGCTTGTTGTTATTTTCTTTTTGCACGCTCACCGGTTTGAAAATGGGTGGACAGGCAGGCCGGGGGGAAAGTGATTGAAGATGTTGATTAGTTAGTTGTTGACATCAGAAACAGAAATTAAAAAAAAAAAAAACCAAAAAAAAAACAAATATAAACAGTCAGTTTGTTAAAATGGCAAAATTTCACTATGAAAAACAATTGGCAACGGTTGCTGCTGCACTGCTGATGTTCCCAGTTTATTTGCCCGCATAAATGGGATTCTTGAAGGTGGATGTGGCCTGTTTGTATATAGGATTCTCGCCCTGCACAATTACAAAAAATAAATCCAAATTAATAACAATATTCATCTTTTGCCTCATTCCTTTTTTCTTTTGCTTACCGTATCCCATTTGGCATTCATGCGCTCCTTTTCGAAGCGGGCAAACTCGCGACGATCGTGGATGGTGGTGAGCAGCTTCCAGAGCAGCAATATGGCCAGACCGATCAGGACAATGGCGGCGATGACGCCGAGCACAATGCTAAGCATAAAGACCTTGGGCGGGCATTCCTTCTCCTCCTGGGCATGAACGACCAGTTCACCCACTTCGCTGTATTTAAACGTAAATTTGCAATCATCCTCATCGAAGAAGACGCACAGCTGCTCATCCTTGTGCTCATCAATCTTGACCTTCTCAACGCCGACGGGCGTGAATGTTGTACAGTTTTTGGCACAATCATCACCGTTCTTTAGCTCGCCGGTGTGATACATTTGACACCGGACGCAATCCTTCAGTTCGTGACAGCGACCCGAGCATGTCGGACACTTGTCACAATATATGCCCGAATATCGGCCATCATCGGTCGATTTGCATTTGCAGACACCGCACTCGCAGGTGCCGTGACCGGAGCAAAGTTCACCGCCATTCGGTGGCATGCAGGTGTCCTTGGAGGTCTGGCAGTCACAGCTGCTGCCCGTCCAGCCGGGCTTGCAGACGCAACGATTGCACTCGCATGTGCCATGATCCGGACCGGAGCACAGCAAATTCTTGCGTCGCTCACAGCTAAAGTTCTCGCATTCGCAATATTTGCCAGAGATGATCTCCTCGGGTTTGGGCCGCTTAATACACTCACAGGCGCCGCACACACAGTTGCCACGACCATTACAGTCGAGGGCGCTCGTATCGTTGCCCGGCCGACACATATTATCGTTAACATTGTTCAGATTCGTATCGGACATGGAGCATTCGCAGGCCTTGCCAAAATACAGATCATCGCATTCACAGATGCCGCACATTAAGGTGCCATGGTTTTTGCACATCGGTGACTGCATCTGATAGCCAGTGGAGCCCTTATGCTCGCATGGGCACGAGCACAGCATCTCCAGATCAATGGTCATGCTCTCGTTGATGCCCACCGGATAGATTTGGATTACCTACAATAGCAATAGCAACAACAATAGCACATAAATATCACATATTGTATAACACATCCATTTCGATTTACAGACCTGATTCCAATCTTTCGGATTTGCCGGGCATTTAGTGACCGTTATCTGAGCGGTGAAGGTGACCTTGTCGCCAACCTTGAGACCTTCGCACTTGTTCGTTTTGATTTGTGGTCCACCGTTGAGACAGCTGGACAAATACGTGATCTTAACATCACCCATGGCATTGTCCTTCATTTCGACCGTCGATGAAATTTTCTACAATTGACAACGAAAATTAAGTTTCAAATTGATTAGATTTGCCATGTTATTTGACTTACGCTGTATTCTTCGCGCACAAGATCGACCACATTGGACGAGTCATTGGACAAGATGGCACTGGATGAGCCCTCAATGTGATTGGATAGCTTCTGATAGACAGAATACTGATTCTGTGTGACGGCAAATATAATATTGATGGCGTTCTGTTTGACCTTCTGGTTAATCTGCGATATGCTCGGATAATCCTGAATGATCGAGTGCGTGTACATGCCCTGGCCGTTCAAATGGCATTCGCCATCGTTGGGCGTTATTACGCCACCCAGTTTACCATCGCCAGCATAATGGAAGCCGGCATCTGTTGAGAAGACAAGCAGGCGACGGGCCTGTTCACGCCAACCAACCTGCTGGCGGCAGGCAATGGCCTGCATTATGGCATCGAAACCACCTTCGGGTGCATCCAAATTGCCGGAGACAGCAGCCTGTTTTACCTCATTCTGTTTTGGTTGTGTGTGTTTGCGTGTGTGAGTAAAAAAAAAGGTATACAGTTTAATATAATGTGCTCAGCTGTAGACTTTTTGTGGAGGTGCACTTGTGTTAGGAAGGCTTTTGACGTTTGACACACTCTTTTTTTGGTATGTAGGCGGCAAGCAAAACATGCCCAAATTTAATTGGCAATCATTTTAAAGCGAGTCGAGTTGAGTTCTGCTTAACGAGAAATGCAAATATTATACATATATAAATATATGTATATATAGACTCGAAAAAGTTGTTTTTGTTTTTAGAAATAATTTCTACAGAAAATTGTAAGCTAGAAAGGCTTGACAACTTTTTTTGACATTTTAGATAAGATGAGCAAACCTTGGCAAACGTATAAAATTCAAGGCGGTATTTCTCCTGAGTATATATACATATATATATTTTATTGTCATTAAATGAAAAACAGTTCTCAATCTTCATCAAAGCCAATCGTTGCCGATAAGATTGCCGACTATATATAGTATTATATGATTATATGTAGACACAATCATATCTGCAAGAGTGTGCCTGGAACGCAATGAAAACAAAACAAACAAAAAATAATGAAGAAGAAGCTTTTATATATTAGAGCTTGGTTTATATATTAGAGCAACATGCAATCGACAAGACGCTTAGGCAGGCAGGCAGGCAGGCATAATGAACAATGATTTTCAGTCTTAACTTATGGTAAGTAAGTGCAAAGATTATTTAAAGTTAACATTCTACAACCAACATGCAAGACAAGATGCAATATTAATACAATAGACAGGGACCAAAAAATAATATTAATGAAAAAAAATATACAAAAACAAATTCGCTGGGGTTAGCAACTAATTGAAATGTCAACGAATTGAGGACCGGGCTCTGGAGTGGTTAGATTGGAACTGGTTCAGCATCTGTTTTTTTTTTTGTTTTTTTTTTTTATTCTTGGTCGTTTTTGATTTTTTGGTCATGTAACAACTTACGGAGAATTTATATGTGTCCGTGCTCAAGCCCATGATGTTGCGATAGCCATAGGGAGCATCACACTTGGGACATGGCTCCAACAGGCTAAATTTTGTATACGAATATTTGTTTTCGACATTTTTTTTTTTGGTTTGTTTTTTTTTTTTTGTTTTTTTTTTTTAGTGTGAAGCAACAAGCAACAACCGATTTTCACAGTTTTCATACACATATATATATAGATACAACGTATATAGAGATCGATAAAAAAAAGAGACAGAGAGAGAGAGAGAGAGAGAGAGATAGTGATGAGCATATATGTAAATGAGACAAACACAAAAAGACAACAAAAAGAATACCAAAAAAAAAATAAAAAATAAATAAATACAAAGGAAACTAAACTAAAAGTAATAAATTAAATCAAATATAATAAAATAGCAAATACATAAAAGGTGTGGTAAGCCCATTCAAACGGAACCGTTGCATCAGCCGGCGTTGCCAGACTGTCATATTTGTGCATTCATTTTCCGAATTGTAATCGGAATCGGAATCTGAATCAGAATCGCATGTTTGCCGATTGAAATTCAAAATCGAAATCGGTTTCCGAACTTAAATTCGAAATTTGTTAAAAACCCAAATACCAAAACTCAGATTATCTACTTAGGGGTATAAATGAAAAGTGTCGGGGAACCCAAATTTCCAAGGTGTATAGCCCATGGTCATACAGATGGACAGACAGACAGACAGACGGGGATTACCACACCGAATTTTTACAACACATAAGAGGAGAGTTCAACCAAACAATTCTCATTAGATATGACTATATATGTATATATATATATATATGTTTATATATGTTTATCATTTAAGATTTATGCATGTTCCCTTTTTTTTTAAACACACAGCAAAAGGACCAAAACAAGCATTCGAACATTATAATAATGTAATGAGTAAAATCAGTAAGCTGCTTGTTTTTTTTACCTTTCTCGGATATACATATATATATTCATATTTATATATATATATATATATGTAAATGCTTATGCAATAAGTGTTTATAGATATAGAAATGACACAAAGACATAAATTCATACATATATAGGATGTACTATAACTAAATACATATTTCATAAATATGTATGTCGAAAATACGGTACGATACGATAAGGATACGATACGATAAGGATACAATAAGATATATAGATGCAATAAGATCGATAGTTAAGAACCAAAGCAAAAGCGAAAATTATAATTGACATGATATGTGGCATATATAGATATATAGTTTGTATGGGTTGGTTTAGTGCACAACACAGAGCTGGTGTATGTTGGTGTGTATGTGTGCGTGTGTGCATGTGTGTGTGAGTCTTGTTTATAGAGTGCAACAAAAAATATATATAGATTTATTAATGTGGCTCTTACAGAGAAGCTTTCGGTGTTATTGCTCAGTGCCATGTGATTGCGGTAACCATAAGGGGCCTTGCAATTCTCGCATGGATGCTCGAGTCTGTATACAAATACACACACACATAATATATATAATTATACATATATGTATATATATACATCGTATATACATTTTGTATATGTCATCAAACAGTTGTCGGCGGTTTTATTTGCGTTGATTGATGGTGATTTTTTGGTTGATTTGTTGTTGTAGTTGTAGTTGTTGTTTAATCATTTAATCATGATTATTTGTGGCGTTAGTTTTTTGTTTTGTTTGGTTTTTTTTTTTTTGCATAAAAGTAAAAATTAAGTAAAAGTTGGTTTGTTTTGAATTAGTCATAATAGATACATAAGAGAGAGCATCGAGCTCAGCTATTAAGAGGAAGAAAAAAGAACATATAAAACAAGTAAGAATGCTCTAGTCGAGATTGCTCGACTAGCAGATACCCTGAACCCAAGTCTCAACCTATCTGAGTTGTGTATTAGATACTCAAAGGAACACATTCAACTTTTACAGATAATCAACATGTCTTTAAAATTTCGATTTTTATCGATATTAAGTTATCGCGCAAATATGGTATAGGAGCAGTTGTGTGCCAAATTTGAGGTCGTCAGCTCTTTTGAACTGACAGCCGGACAGAAGGACAAACATGGATGGCTATATCGACTCGACTAGTTATGCTGATCGAGAATATATATACATGATGGCGTCGCAGATGCACAACTACAAATCTTATAAGCATTTCTCATTTTATTTTTATTTCAACTTAAATATTAAAAATTTGTTGTATTTTGCAGTGTCGATTAAATAAATCAACTTTATTGTAGACTTTTAAAAGGGTTCAGGGCAAAAAAAAAAAACATTTAACTGTGGATTGCCGCATATCAAAACATCCTTGCAGATAATATTTAGAGATCCAATTCGTGTTAACTACTTATGTAAATGATAATTATATAATAGTCTACTTGAAGTTGAAGTTAACCAATGAATTACGCGAGTTGTTTTTTATTTATTTTTTCGGTATAGGTTAGGAAGCCATGAGTCGGGCATGGTATCAGAGATATAAATATTTTTGGTGACTCGATGTTTTAGAAAAACTGCAAGGCATTACTCAAAGCTATTAATCATACATAATAATTATATAATGAAAGACTTATGAACACTTATCAGTCAACTTTTGCTGATGTATCCGCAATAACTATGACTAACTTATGGATTGGGATCAGCCAAGTGGAACGTTTGGAGAACGATTCTCGAATATGTTCCATGACAACCTAACCTATTCTAGGACTTAACTGATAGATAATCTAGGTAATGTGACTAATCTTATTTATATTCTTTCTTTTGTTTTTTTTTTGAATAAAACTCACTTGCTGGGTATGGTGGAGACGTAAGGCATGAGCACCTTGTCGACGAAAGAACCAAAGCCCAAACGGAAATTGGATGTGATGCGCTTCATCGTTTCGGAGAGCTTGTCACCCAATGCGGATAGTTTCTCCTTGTCGTCCTCCATTGATTTTGAGAGATCCATCAAATAGTAGAGATCAACCGGATAGTCTTCGGCCTGTGAGTAGCTCACATCCAGATTGTGCACCTCATCTGAAAATAATGTATTAATGCTTATTCATTGTTTTTCTATCGATAACAGTTATCGGATGACTTACTGATGCGCAACTTGAGGCTGACGCGTTGCGGCTTGATTTGGACAATTTCACCAGCGGCGGCAGCACCGCTGACTGCTGCTGAGCCGAAGCTGGAGCCCGAACTGGCACTGTAACCGGAGCTGGAGCTGGAGCCCGAACTGGAACTGGAGCCATAGCTCGAACTTGAACCGGAGGCACTATACGAACCAGATGATGAACTTTGCTGACGTCCACTGCTCTCGTAGCTGCCACCTGATATATAGGCGGCACCGCCGCTGGCCAACGTCAAATCCTTGTTGATCAATATACGCTCCGATGTATCCGGATTCCAGATGTACTCCTCAGGGCACACCTCCGCCTTGGGCGTGTGCAGAAAACAGCGAGGCCGATCACCATAATCGGGTTTCATGCACCAGCCACAGTTCTGGGTCTGTATGCACTCATGACAATTGGCCTTGTTCACGCATGGATTCTGCTCCAATTTGGCCGGTGATTGGGAGGCGCTGGAACTGGAGCTGGAACTGGAGCTGGAGCTGGAGCTGGAGCTGAAGCTAGAGCTGGAGCTGGATATGGATTTCGTTTGTTGTTCAGCCTGTGCCACTATTGGCAATTGGATCAATGTGCTGGCAATGATGCACAGCAGTGCCACATGCAACACTTGTTGCATTGCGGTTTTTTGGCTCTTGTGTTGGGCGGGTGCTGTTGGAATTTCTGTTGCGGTTGCTGTCTCTTGTCTCATTGTCGCTTGACAAGCGCTCTCTCTCTCTTTCACTCACACTCTCTCGTTCTCTCTTTTTCTTGTGGCGTATCTTCCAGCCTTTTCGCTCTTTTTGGTTGTTGGGCGGTGGGGGTGCGAAAGTTTTAGGTGCAGCGACTGCAAATTAGATGATTTCAAATGCAATCAGTAAATATTCGATTCAAGAATTTTTAATTTTTTGAATTGGTATTTTTACAAATCACTTCTTTTCTTTGAGCAACTTCTTTTTCAGATTTTATCCACACACAAATATGCCTTCATTAATTTTTAACACACACACACATATATACATATACATATAAATATATATGTATACATATTTCTGTATTATTTATAGCTTTGACCGGAAAGCTAAAAAAAAACAAAAAAAAAAACAATTTGTGCCAGACCAAATGCTTCAATACCCTGCATTTTGAGTCACAATTACAATTACTCATCTCAAATGACTTATGCTGAATATGATAGATGGCAACTTCAAAAGTTCTTATTGTGCATAAGTCTAATAACAATTTAATTAAGTCAAATTTGAAAGTCACCAGAATCTCAATTCAGCTTTCTGCTTGCATCGAGATTTACCGCAAAGAAATTAAAAGTGTATGCACATCAATACATAAATACATCAACACGTACATACATCTATATGATGAATACTCATTCACCTTTCGTAAGAGTGAAACAACAGCAAAACATCTGTTCAGGTCTACTTTCTGCTTTCTGCCATTGCCTTTTGCCTCATGGTTAATTTTATTTATCTTGCGAGGCTGTTTGCTGTTGTTGTTGTTGTTGTTCTTGTCGTTAAGCTATCAGCGCTGTTTCGTACGAAACACACGAATCAAAAATCAAATTGGATATGACTCATCCTCATCGCTGCTGCTGGCTGCTGTCGGTGCGTGTCTGTGTGTGTAACAAAACAACACACACATACAGAGAAACATACATGCTTGTTCGGAATAAGGGCGAATAGCAATATGTGACCAACTTTGACGATGAGTGAGAAAATGTCAATTACTGCACGTCTTGTCTCCACACATACACGAACAAGTAAATCGCCATGAAGTATGAGAGATAGAGAGAGAGAGTACCGTTAACGGTTATTCATAGTTGTGCTAGCGCCCTCTTGCAGTACAAGAGCAAAGCAAAATTGAAAATATAAACAAAGAGGGCAAAGCTGACAGGACAAAGACGGCCCTTTTTAAAGCAGGCAATGAATGGTATATATCAAATAAGTGTATATATATATATATATATATATATATGTGTGTGTGTCGTATTTATATGAGGGAAAAGCAAACTTAAGCGATGATTTTATTTGCGGCAGCTTGAGTCATGTGCAGCGACTGCCCTGACGCTTTCCAGACTGGCTCACAATTGAATGAATAATCAATCGCCTTGCAAAACTTGATTCTGGTGAATTTAGATTCGTTTCGTTTTGTTTGCCGTAGCATTAATCATGCTCATTTCGATTGAAAGAAGGGTGACCAGTTATCGAGTACGGCTAACAAACAATTCCGCTAGAGAAGCACAATGTGCAGATGTTGTTTTGTGTGTCTAAATATATCCCAACGAACCACGCATACAGTGAGCGCCACTAGATGGCGTGGAGGGAGGGACGGAGGGGAAGTAGTGCTAAGAGTTCCGCTTTTTTCCCGCCCCCATTAAACTTGGCATTTTTTCAAGCAAATTAGAAATGAAGCAAGAATGGAAATATTACGAATAAAATGCTAATTTTATTTGGTTTTGCCTCTTGCCGCCAAAAAGTAATATTTTGGATTTGTTAAGAGTTGGCAACACTGCTGGCGAGTTGCAGTAATTTGCACGAATAAAGAGAGCAAATATTGAATATGCCAGCAAAGAGATACAAACATTCATAAACATCGATGATATATATGTACATGGGAGAGTGTGTGGCTTGGTGTTGGCCTCGCAAGCACACGCCCACCATAAGCAGCAACATCTGCGCTACACTACATAATGTGGGCGTACGAGTTCCTCAAACACCAATCCAACTAACAGGCACAGATAAACACACAGCTAAGCAAACATACAGGCATTAATACGGACACTCACACACACATGCATTGGAGACGGAGAGACAACAGCGATTGGATGTGCAAACTCCTTGTGTGCAACGTAAACACGACGGTAGGGGGCGCTGTGGCCGCTGCTATGCTTCTGTAATCAGTTACTGATCGTCAACTTTAAAAGTGTGGTCACCCCACCCCCAGCACTTGAATATTCAGACTTTGCTCTTTAGCTCTCCCTGGAGGACATTCATTGGCAAACACACATACACAAACACCAAATTCAACATATAAACGCAAGCAACGCAAAGACTGCGTCTATGTGTGTGTGCATGTGTGCGTTGGCCGCGTAGTCATCGTCATCGTCATCGTGAATGAAATCATCAACACGCCCGACGACTTTTCTCCCTTTGACCAATAATGCAGTCAGAATTTGAACATATTCTTACGTAATACAACTTCATTCACATTATTTCACGCACACTCTAACACTTGTTGCTGTTCAATAGTAATGTTTAGCGTCTTTTTAATTAGTAATGCTATAAAATAGTTCCATCAGGGCGCGACAAGCGATTCGTTGCTATGCTTTTATTTTGATTTCACGCACACACTTGTGGAGTTGCCCACACACAAACACACAGGCACATACACTATGATACACAATTGCAATGAGATTATACATATGTGCCACTTATGCAGTTTCAGCACGCCGCATGCTCTTCAACGCAAATAACAATAAAACTAACAATAAGTTCCAAAAAAAATATACAAACAAAAGATGGCAAAATGAAAGAATTGACAATTACTTTTTGGCGACGGTTCCGCACTGCCTCTCGATTATCAAACAACTGACGTCGTGTGGCCAGCCTTAAATAACTTACAAAATACGCGCGTAGTGTGACCAAGGTTTACTATACGACGGGCTAATCGCACGCCAATTATTATCATCTGCTCGATGAAAATCGTCAGTACGAGAAATAAAGTTGCCACATTTATATAAATCCTGTTGGAATTAAAGATATAAGACAGAGCAAAACTTTGATTGTTCGAAAAAACCAAAAAAAATTTAATATTTAAGAAAAAAGCAGTTGTAGCTACGACTGAATGCTAGTATTTCGATGCACACCTAAAAATACCAAAACTGATTTGACTGTCAAAGTGCACAATGCAAAATACCAACAAAAAAAAGTGTGCAAAGCAAGCGGACAACAATAAAGCGCATCAAAGTGAATGTAAATAGATAGCAGTAAAACCAATTCAACTGGCCAACAGCAGGAACAACAACAATAAAAACAAGAACAACAAAGCGATAGTGCAACAAAGAAAAACAAAAACAGGAAAAACAATAACAAAGCCAAAGCAATTTATTGCTGCTAAAACTAAACTAAATTAAGGTCGCTGAGGGTGGAGCGAGGAGGAGGAGTAGGTGGTGTTCAACATGGACAACGACTATGATATCGATATCGATTTGAATTTTGTGCAACTGAGCCGACAGCAGCTGCTGCAACGGTACACGAATGCCGTACGGCAACTGCGTCGCCTCGCCGAGGCCAATTACGGTGTGCGTCCGCTCAGCTTCGATAACTATGTCATCTTTCAGTATTTCCAACAGCGCAGTCCACGCAGTGCACAGGCACCGCAGGCGCCCCTCTACACAACGCCAGAGACGCCACTGATGGCGTATCTAAAACTGGAGGTATTGCATCATCTGCTTGACAGGCGACGCAAAATCCTCTGCTGGATGTTCTACTTGACACTGATGTCGCTGTGTGTGGTCGCCTATCGCTATGAGACGTCACAGAGTGCGAACAATGTGCGGATGGTGCAATCGATGGTGTATCCGGGCATGCGTATGTGGCGTCGCATGACCATGCCACTAATCCAACGCTTTCCACGGCTCACCGAACTGTACGACGAGTCGTGCCTGATGGGCAATCCGTTCTTTCAGGTCGAGGATCTCAGTTGCGGACCGTGTGCCCATGTCGAAAGCGTTTGGCTGGAGAGCGATCAGTGCGCCCAGCTCCATGCGACGAATGCCAGCAATGAGACATTGTCCGGCTATGAGCAGTTGGCACTGTTGCAACAGTGCCGCCAGCCAGCAACGGATCATCATGTGCCGTACATGTTTCGTGGCGATCAGCATGCATTCGATTTGGCCGATTTCTATCGGATCTATGCGAACAATTTGCAGATCTTTCAACGGGACGCGTATCGTGTGCACTCAACAAATCAGCATGTCCACAATCTGGAGGATCTGTTCGGGCAGTTCAACAGGAGCAGCTTGGTGCAGGGCGCAAAGGATGAGCTGCACCCATCCTCAACGCACACGCACAACTTGTGGCGCTGCAATCGAATGCTGCCCGCTCGCCTCTTGCGACCCATTTTCGCCCGTCCGCTACGCTTGCCCAGCATGGGCGTCGCCCTGGAACGGTATGTGGCCATCGATACGGCACAGGCGCCGACGTATACGTTGCCCGAAACGGAATGTCCCAATGTGTATGTCCATCAGGCGGTGGGCACTCGTTTCATCATCCTGCGTCCAACCAGCGAATGCCGTCAACGCTGTCGCACCCTCTCCATGCGCCTCACCCAATCCTTTGTGCGTAAGTATCAGCAGCAACAGACTCAAAGATCTCAATCTAAAGCAAAATGTCATAAATTCTACCTTTCTTGTCCATCATTTTGCAGTCAACTACAATTGGTTATACTGGAAGCCGATCTCGGCGCCTGATCCCATTGCGGACAACATTTCCATCAGTCTAATTGGTTCCTACTGCTAAGTGGGACCAGCACCGTTAACCCGTGACTCCCCCCTCTCTCATGCACTATATATATATATATATGTATATATATGTATATACTGATAAACGCCAAGCCAACATTTTTAAATCACGAATTTTTTTGTCGCTCATTTTGGGAAATGAAATGCAATTCTTGAAATGATTAACTGAAAGATCGATAGTTGACCATTGAAAATGGCAGCTGGATTAGCTATAAGAGCCATGTTCTGAATTGTCCTTGTAGTTATTAAGTTTAGCTTATAATCAATGCCGATCGTTTTGTCCCCCTGATTTCACTTTATATGTGTTCTATTCTCGATGATGATGATTTTCGTTATTTTCTTTAATCAACTGCATTTATACTCAGCTTTAAGTTTAACTTGATTTTAATCGTTACTAGCACACCAACTGGCGTCTAAAATATAAATATAACAATACTATATATACACATATACATAGATATATAAGATGCCATTATAGGAATATAAAATATCGATGAATTTTTTTTTCGAGTTTCTCGCAACTTTTTTGTTTAGTTCAATCATTTGCCAAATTGTGAATTATTCCAAATTCTGCTGCTGCATATAATGTCATTATATATATATAAATAAAATGATAATACATGATAAATCCAATTTATATTTTATTAGTTGCATATATTAACTTGAAATGGTTAGTTCTTGGTGAGCAGATCGAAGTAGGAGCCGGTCATTAGATCTGCGGGCGCAATGCCAAATGTGCAACACAGCTCATCCGCAATGGTCTGGCCCTCTTCCAGTGTCTGTTCGGGACGTAGGCAAACTTCGAACTCCATGAAATGACCCAAATCCTTCACCTCATCCATGTGAATCCGTGTTTGTTTGTGCAGAAATAGCAATCGCTGCTTGGCCAATATGCCCAGTGAACCGTTCGATAATCGTAGAATCTTCTCCAGGACCGTCGGCTCATCCACCTCGATTTTGTTATATTTGGAGAGTTTGGGACCCGCCACATCCGGCCGATCATAGTGGACAAGCTGTGAACGCGCCGGCGCCTCCAAATAGCGCAATTTCAGTCGGCCGCCTTGCGGCGAATTGAAGAAGACGTCGCGCTGCACAATCACCTCACCAGCGGAGCCCGTTAGCTTCTTGGCGATGTCGACGCGACGATTGAACTCGTCGACACCACCCGGAATACGGGCTTTTATCTCCACATTGCGCTTATCTGGCACAACAGCTGCAGCTGCATCGCACATGCTGCTTGGCTTGGCGTTGTTTATGTACTTCGATAGATGCCTGATTTGGATATAGATATATATATCTTATTTCATATTTTATCTTAATTCTTGTGATTCGTGTGCTTTTCGATCAAGCTTCCTGGCAAAGAACCGCGCGCTTTTGCTATCGATATCGATAGACCGCTTGGGCTGCAATTGATGTGGCAGCACTGCCCTTAATCACATTTCATTGAGACACAATATATTGGCGCCAAATTGTATTGATCGGTAACAACTTGAATAAATTGTTCGTAGTTAATCTACTCCTATTATGAAAAGGGCAAATTCCCAGGCGTTTTGTTATATCAATAAATACATTTTATTATAGCAAAATGCTTTTTTGACATTAATTATGAGTCATATTTTTGTGTTTCGAGGAGTAGAGTTTGACGTAAGTGTGTTTTGCAACGATGAGGGAATCCACCTAGCGATTTGTTTATGTTCCGAATTGGAAACGCGCCTGCGCAGCTTCACCGTTCCAATACGGAACCAGTGCCATCACGCCCCCCTAAGGTTAAGCCATCAGCAACCCGAATCGCCCAGTTCGACTTATCAAAAATGATGCATGAGCAAGAATAAATGTTTTGTCACGCTCAGAAAATGAGAACAGAGAATTGTATGTAAAACCGAATCTGTGCTTCGTTTGAATGCAGTTCACCTCCGTCCAGATTTATATAAAAAAAAAAAATATTGTACCAAACCCAATTTAGCGCCCAAAAATCCGGCATCCGATTTTTGGCCAAGTTTTATGTAACCTTTTTGCATCAAACCGAATACTTATATTAGAGCTCTAATAAGATAGGATACGGATTGAGGGTCACCGAAAATATCATAATCGTTTTATTATTCTTTATTTTGTCGAATTTGGCAAGATTCCGAATTCAAATTCAAAATTGAATTGCCGTTAGAAAAATTATAGCGTCACCTAGCGGCAATTTGTATTATTATATATTTATATTGAATGCCTGTGAATAAATTATAAGGATAAGGATTTCTGAGTAACTTTAGTGGAGGGGAGTAAATTAATCGTCCATTCCAATATAAGGGCGATGGGCAAACCAAATCCGTGCAGGCCCATTGGTGGAAGGGCGGGTACGTCGTGGCCACAGACACCAGGCCTGTCAGCTGTTTCATTTGTTTTCTGATTGGCGCCAAAATGGGTGCCAAATTTAAAAATGAACTTGATTTGTAATCAATATGGGAATACTATTCTTATGACTTTAGTTTGCATTGAAATGGTCATTTTAACTACAAATATTGTAGTAGATACGCATCGTGTGTTTATTAAAGTCATTCAAAAATATTTCAACTTATGTAATTTGGTTCGGTTTTGGATGGGTTTTATGGCATCAAATAACTCCATCGGTTATCATTCTGGTATGTGTGTGTGTGCACGCAAATCGATAGTTATGTGATAGAATTGAATAACCCCCTTATTCTGCAGAATGGCACCCACCTAACTGAAAATAAATATCGAAGAGGGTCTTGATAGAGACTTCCCGTTAGCAGATACCCTATACTCAGCAGTAGCAATTACAGAAACCTCTCATTACAATTTGTTAGCATAGTTTATATATAATATAATAAATACATGTATATATATATATATATATATACATACATATATATATATATATGTGTATTTTTTGTGACTGAAGAGGGGAATTGGGCATAAATAGGGATATATGAAAAAATGGAAAACATTACATGATAGATATTCTACATTTGATATTTGAGCACTTATCGTCTGTGAGACCAATGCGTTCATAAATGTATTTATATATTATTTTTAAACAATTTTAAGTGTTGTATTTTCCCCATCATTAATTATTTATTATAAATTGTATATAGAAGCAGAATTGACTAAAAATTATCTTAAAATACGAATTTTCAACTCGAGGCGTCGCATTACTATTTTGGACAACATGTATAATATGTACATACATACATACATAATATATATATATAGGTACGTATGTATGTATGTAATTATGTACACACGTTTGTATATACACATGTACATCTATAATAATATAATATGTAAGTAAATGGGTGCCAAAGCACCAAACATCGAACCAAAAGCAACAACAAAAATCAGCAACGAACAAAAAAATAAAATAAAAAAAATACGAAATTAGAAGAAGAAGAAAACACAATTATATAGACACACACAAGTTGCATAGTCTCTTGCAGAGGCCCCGATTCGTGACGCGCAATGCTACACGGTAGATATATATGTATGTACATATATATGTATATATGTATGTATATATATATATATATATATATATATATATATATATATATATATATGTGTGTGTATGTATGTATTTAGGTAGGTTAGCAGCGGTGAAGGGAGAGACGACGACGACGACGACGACGGCGATGGCGATGGCGACGGCAGCTATGATGACGATTCCGCGCAACGACTTTGGCAGCTCAACACAAACACGCACACACACACAGAGCATAAAGGGTCGAGCAGCGGAGTGTGGGGTTGGGTGAGGGATGGGGGGGGGGGGGGGGGTAGGCGTGCCCATTGTGTGGGCGTACGCGTTTGGCGGCCAAACCGGGAATATTTCCATCAACTTCCCCCACTTCGGGAGCTTTTCGGCGTGCTCATTTTGCGGTTCGGCTGCCGAATGGTATCGTTTTTTTTTTTTTTTGTTAGCTACTTATTACCCTGTCATGTTCGAAAATGGCAATAGCAAAATTTACTTTTAATTTGCCACCATGCAGCCCCACACACACACACACAGAACCTCCGTTGCTCTCTACTCTCTTCCTCTTCCAAGCGCAACAGCGCCCCCTTGTGCCAAAAAAATCAACTACCAGCTGCAAGATGGCAAATTTAATATTTATTAGCCTAAATTTTTAGATATGCATTTGTATATACATATATATCTATGTGCATAAATATCTATGTATTTGTGATAAATCTAGACGCCGATATGACAGATGGCTTCCAACAATTACTGTCATCATATACATATACATGTATGTATAGACAGATGCCTACATTTGAGGACTTTCTTTCCTAATAATATTTGTACATATCCGATATTTTAAGGAACTTTCGGATTGAGATTTTGTAGAACCTTTTCTTAAATATATATATAAATATTATATATTGTATATTTATCAAGGATCCCGAAACCGATATGGGTTTTTTTAAAGCACAACTACAGTAAACCATTATGCTTCAGGGAAATGTTTACTTAATACCTTGTAAGATATTTAACTAATTACATTAGTAAGTAAGTAACTACATGTGTGTATGTATATATGTATGTATGCATGTGTGTATATTGCACATAAATATTTATTTAGCAAGATCTTTGCCTATATTTAATAATGACTAGAAGCCCAGCAGCAGCTCTCTTTGGGCATCATCAGCCAATCAGCAATTGGCAACGGGTAGTATTGGGCCACATTATCATCATCATCACAGCCACCCCCTATGCACCCCCTCCACTACCACCCTGCCCCTGCACCTTTGGCGGGAGCATCCCTTTTAAATCTTGCAGCGAAAATTCGATGTTCATGTGTATCTTTTGGAAATATTCATGTATATATATATTTACTTATACATATGTATATGTATATAAATATATTATAAATACATATGTATATAAATATCCATGTTTGAAGCTTTTTCGACAGAGTAAACGGATATCAAACACACAAAAACCCGTATCCGACCGACAGGCAATGTATGTACAGTGTCTCACAGCTCATCTGGAACAGTGCCTAATTATACAATATTTTTCAAAAATTCCAAAGACCGATGGCAGGTACATTTATTAACCACCAAAATGAATATATGACCCCAATAAACTGGGATTTCCCCACCGGCTAGGCCGCGTTATGTAAAAAAGTACCTTAATTTATGGTCACATATTATTTCGAGCAGTGGCATTATGGACACCTGGGTGCCATAAAACCCGGATTTTTTACGTCGGGTTGACTATTTTGGGTATAAATAGAGCAATCCTTCGTAGTCAGTTTAGTTATATCCTGCATCTCGAGTGCAACCAGCCAACAAGGACTATGGGCAAGCGGACTACCATTGAACAACGGAAACTGATCCTGGAACATTTCAAGATTGGATATTCATATCGCCAAATAGCTAAAATGGTAAATCTAAGCACCACAACTGTATTCAACATCATTCGGCGCTTCGTCGACGAAAATCGGATAGAGGACAAGGGCAGAAAGGCACCACACAAGATTTTCACCGAACAGGAGGAGCGGAGGATCATCAGGAAAATAAGGGAAAATCCCAAGCTATCGGCTCCAAAACTGACTCAACAGGTGCAGGATGAAATGGGGAAAAAGTGCAGTGTGGAAACTGTGCGCCGGGTTCTGCGCAACCATGACTTCAATGCCCGGGTACCACGGAAGAAGCCCTTTATAAGCGGAAAAAATAAAGGGACTAGGATGACGTTCGCCAAAACCCACTTGGACAAGGACCCACTTTCTGGAACACAGTCAAATTGGCAGATGAGTCCAACTTCAAAATTTTTGCCTCGGGGGAACGGAATTATGGATGGCGACAGTCAAATACGGAGCCGAATTCCAAAGACTTAAAGGCAACAGTCAATCACGGAGGAGGAATGATATCATACTAAGTATTAAGATCTTTTTTAAGTTTTTATACGGCAAATATGTTACTTTTTAAGAATTTTCGAAATAAGCTTTGACATGTATTTTGGATATGTTTTCAGTTTTGACTAATTTTAATTCAATAATTTATATTTTAATAAAAACTAAAGTTTCCTTTTGAAATGTGATATAACATGAAACAAATTGGCATTTAAACATTTTGCGCTTGTTTCTTTGTTTAAACTTTATAGTACTTTAAATTTTTTGCTAGGCACTGTTCCAGATGAGCTGTGAGACACTGTATATATATATATAAATATATATAAATATACAAATATATATATATATAAATATATATAAATATACAAATATATATATATATTTATATATATATATATATGTATGTATGTATGTGTGTGTGTGTGCGTGCGTGTGTAAGTACAAAGACAGACATTCACACACACACACACACTTAGCAGCTACGAAAATTTAATGCAGTTTTCTCGATTTTCTATGTGGAATTCTCCGT